AAGTCGGTGTTCGTTGAAACGGCTCTCATTCGGGTGACAAATTTACGACCATAACAAAAACATCAGCGAACGTTTTTGTCGTTATCAGCGAAAAAATATTCCGTAGTTGTTGTGGTTAAAATAAGATAATAATATTCTATTCAGTAATGTAAGAAAATAGACTAAACAAGACTGCCAAAAAAATTACCTTATAGGCATAAGTACTGCTATATTCAGTAAAACCGAAACAGGTAAAATTTTTATTGCATAAATGATAAAATGCAAATTTTGACTGCCACAACTTTTCGATCGTCCAATGTTTTCGAGAATGACGTTATCCTCAATTTTATCAAATGGCAATCCCCTACTTTGGGTGTCGGTTTTCGCAAATTTAGTCTTATTTAAAACGACTGCATACAAATTTTAGAGAAATATAATTTATATAAAAAATATATTATTGCTACAAATGAACTATGTAGTATAATTTGCTTAGCAATAAAAATAAAATGCAAGATTAGGCCAATTGGTTTTCAAATTGCCAACAATTGATTTCTTGACAATGGCAAGTTCATGTACAAATTCGTCGAGTCCATTGTGAATGACTTCTTCCCTTCACTTTTCTCTTCAAATAAACCGAAAGAAAATAGTCCAGGGTTCAGTAGAATAAGATCTGGACATTGAAGGCAAAAGTCTATACTACCAGACCACAAAATTTAGAGGATTTAAAAAACAGAATACGGTTTGAAATTAAACAAATTACGGAAGGCGTAATTAACAATGTACTAAGTAAAGGAGGGGTTTCGATAAGACCCTTTACCGGCCCCCTGAAATTTTTTTTATTTTAATATTGTGTTTATAGGGACTACACATAAAATTTACAAATATATATATCATTAGCCAATATTCGCTCTATTTATGTGTTTAAGGTATATGTTTGATTTATAGTTGATGAGAATGAAGTGACAAAATATACTAAATAATATTATAATTATCGTTTTTTTTTTTTGACAAAGCAAAGTAATACAAGTGCAAAAAACATTAATATATTACGTAGAGTCCTCTTCTTCTTGATCTGACCATCCAGCTGCAGCATCTTGAATACAATCTTCGTAGTGAGAAGAGTACTTTACTTGTTGACGCTCCGAATGCCTATAATAGCTAAGGAACCACAACACTGAAGCTATGTGAGCACAACATCCAACAACACATGCTCCAACCTTGCACTGGCAATACCAAGATGTAACTCCAGTAGGATGATATTGTATCCATAAGTTATATATTTTTGATGAGGTGTGGCGACTTTGGATTAGAACTCTTATGATATCGGGATATTCTTTGTGAAAAAAAAAACTTATATAGTCCTTGATTATCAACATGCTCAGTAGCGTATGAATCAGCTTGTTTCAACTGATAAACCCCTAAGGTTAAATAAATGTTTCAGTTCTTCGATTGTTAAACACGGAAATTCCGATAACGCATCATCCGTCACTTCTTGCCAAACAACCCTTTTTCTTGCCCAATTTTCCTGTATTACTTTATTCCGTAATTCATTTGGATATTTAGATAGTTAACATTCTTTCTGCAATTATTGCAGCACTTTGATCATCTGTGATTCTTGGCGGCCGGAATGCATTCAAAATACTACATATAATCCTTACATAGTCCCCAATGTATGGAACTTGAGAATTTGGGATAATATTAGCTAGTGATTTAATATATAAATAAAGGAAATATAAAAAATGGTTATTGTGGGTTATCCCTAAGAGATAGACATATACCATCGCGGACTTTTTTGTAGACCTTTTTAAGGTGTACAATATTGTAGTACATTATTTTGATCTATCTCGTAGGGTTCAGCCAGCGTTTGCAATGTAAGCGGAAAAAAATGTGTTTATTTACGACATCACATTAGAAACCTCTAAAATTATCAGTGTTTCTCTACTATATTATGCATGTATTATACATATAAACCTTCCTCTTGAATCACTCTATCTATTAAAAAAAACCGCATCAAAATCCGTTGCGTAGTTTTAAAGATCTATGCATACATAGGGACAGACAGCGGGAAGCGACTTTGTTATACTATGTTATGATTATCCGAAATCCAATTAATTTATTTTTTACCATGAGTATAGTAACACGTCAGTTTTTATATATGTAATAGCTTATGTATTTGTGCACCACATACATGAAAATCGTTTTGTTACTCGGTTGCGCTGTATATGAAATAACTAGATAAAGATTGCAAAAACCACAAAAATCACGTGTTTTTGTAAAAGAATTCAAGTTAAGTGGTTCTTTTCATAAAGATCCTATTAAATAACACAAACAATATATGTATTTTTAAAAACTTTATACTTTTCACATTATAAAAAAAATAAGAATGATTCAGATAATAACCTTTAAAAAACATGATTTTGGGGGGCCGGTAAAGGGTCTTATCGAAACCCCTCCTTTGTAGATAGACTTGCCTATTGTCACGAACTCAATGGCTTGACAATATGCATTGCTTTTTGGCAGCTGTATTCATTTCAGAGAAAAAAAATGCAAAAAAATGCAAAAATCATATGTTATTTAAATGGGAAATGTATCATGATTTAGGCACGGGTTAATACGAATATTAAGGGCTTATTTGGGGCGTTTGTAAAAAAATTAACTTGGGAAATAACGGACACCCTAATAAGATATGGAGTCTGTGAAGTTTTTTTTTCAATAATTAAATTATCGCTTAATGCGGGTCCGTATCCCTCTTCTTTCGCATTTTTACATTTTTCTGATCGATTCGTTGCGGTATAAATTAATAACGAGGAAAAGACCGTAGAATTTCTCCGTTACGATTAAATCTAACTTTGATTATTAGCGATGCATATCTAACTTTCGTCAAGGCGGCGTGTAAATTATAAAGCTCGTTATTAAACATGAGGGGCGTTAAGGATAGCGATTTTTAAGCGTAGTTTCCTTTTCTTTTCCGCGATCAGGTGGTTATACAGGGTGATTGATCGAAACCATTCGTTTAAAGTATTAGGGCTTGTAGAAATAGCTCATGTTTGGAAATTTGGACTTAAGCTAATGGACGGAATGAAGCTTAATTTGGAGTTAAATTATGGCGGTCTTGATGATTTTTTTTTTAAATGGCTACAGTTGTGGTTATACCGGAAGTCGGCTTCAACTTCCTTATTTTAAATGGAATGGTGCCTATTTTATTGCATGTTTAGATTCTGTACGGTTTTTTTATTTCCCTATACCTATTTTCCGTTTTTGAGTTATTTATGGTTTTTTGAATTTTGTTAATTAGCGCCATAAGATTTGATTCTATCTGTAGTTGTCATTTTAGAAAATTAAGTATCAGTATTAGTACTGTCGTTAGTAGAACCATAAAGCTCTGCAACAATGCTTTTATTATTTCTCAATCATGTACAAGGTGTTGTAAACATAAGTAGGTACCATTTAGCCAAATTCAGACCATCCGAACTCAAATTTTGTAAATATAAGATCCATATTTTACTTCACATTTTAATGTGGAATTAAATCCTGCATCGATCTGTATTAGTATTCCATATACCTATATTTAATAGTTTTTTTTAGTTACGTTTTTTTTTAGTTCACATAACTTTTAATAAATCATTTGTATTTTCAATAGCATGCCAATTGCCAATTGGAATGTATAGTTACTGTTTTTTAAGCAATAGTACAATTTGTGTCATGTTTGAGTCAATCGAGTTTTATAGTGGGCTTTCTGTGTTCGTCAACATGAAAAATCATATTCGAATATCATATCAATAATCATATTCAAATAATAGAATATTCAAATATGGATATTAATTTATTATACGCTTAAGATGCTTGGAACAAAACGACAGTGACCTTATGACTGTGACCTTTTTTAGACACATTACATTATCTACATATTATTTTAAATGTTGAAATATAATTTAAAAATTATACCAAACTGCTCAAGATTAGCGCCATTTGCGTTCTATTCGAGTTAGAGACTTGCGGTTTTTAATTTTCGGTAGCCTATAGGGTTGGTTTAATGCCCCGAAGTCGCTACGCTAGTCCACGCCCCAAAAAGCAACCCCATGTCGAAATTTGAATTCGCAAGATTTTGACGGAAATTTCAGAGACCTACAGAATAAAATATAAAATGGTATTTCAAATTTTAACTCAAACAGCCCTACTAACAGACCGGATGCCTTTCATACGCCTGCGCTAGCGACTAGATCGCGATTGGTTCTCACCTCATGTTTACATCTGCTCAATAAAGAAGTTAAATTGTCAATTGCCTTTCATTCGGCTATTATTAGGGTGCCGATTACTGTATAACTAAAGAACTATTAAATATGGATATAGGGAATGCTAATATAGATGGATTCAGAATTGAATACTGCATTAAAATGTAAAATAAAGTATGGGGCATCGTATTTAAAAAAAAAGAGTTTGTATGGTTTGAGATTGGGTAAATGGTAGTTCTATTTTAAACACCCATAAATAGACGAGTACATACACAATATGTGTATAGGGAAATCTCATGAAAACAAAACTATCGAATATCATAACATCATAACATAGTATAAAACAAAGTCGCTTCCCGCTGTCTGTCTGTCCCTATGTATGTTTAGATCTTTAAAACTACGCAACAGATTTTGATGCGGTTTTTTTAAATAGATAGAGTGATTCAAGAGGACGGGTTATATGTATAATACATGCATAATATAGTAGAGAAGCACTTATAATTTTAGAGGTTTCTAATGCGATGTCGTAAATAAACACATTTTTTTGCGCTTACATTGGCTTACAAACGCTGGCTGAACCCTACGAGATAGATCAAAATAATGTACTACAGTGTTGTACACCGTAAAAAGGTCTACAAAAAGTCGGGGCGGGGGGGGTAAAGAAATTGTAATTCATTACAAATAAATAAATCACACCACAGAAATTGACATTCTCCCTCTAGGAATCGTTACGATTGCGCCGAAGGAGAATACACATGGAAAAAACGTAGGACACACAACCAAATTAATTGCCACAGGCGGGATTCGAACCTACGCGGATAATAGCTCTCGAAGTAATTGCCATCTTCTGATCTGGCGCTTTACCCACTGAGCTATCGCCGTAGTAATTTTAATACATTTTCAAAATTGCTTTATTCCGTCGCTTTTATGCAGGGTTATAGCAGAAATGAGCAAACTGATATGCGTTTAATATACTATGAAGCATCAAGACAGAATTCTTTCGAAGTGGCTCGAGCTCACACCAATCTCTATCTCTAGGTCGGGAGCAAATGGAAATGAAGCAATTCCTGTTAAACACAAATGACTAAAAGGCGATCACCATGTCATTAAATTCAGATTTATGTCCAATTCTAAAATGTCATTAGTATATATCTGAAAAATTGTAGGTCTGATCTATTTTCGAGAATCACCCGGTATACCGGGGCTGAAAATATGGTATAACTAGCACAACGGCGGGGGTGTGTATAAATTTACATGTTTTTAAATGCTGGGATCGCTTTATTTTAAAAGTATCCCTTAAGCTTCCCCGTGTTTTCGGGGTTGCGTCTGTTTATTTTCGTCTTGCAGCAATTATTCTTTATCATCCGATATGACTATGTACCAGAATAATTACACTGGGGGAGAATTTCAGCCCCCAATTAAAAAAGAAACAACAGTATCATTTTTTATAAGAAAATAATTTTAATACTAGACTACATTTAGTTTTCAACATCACATTTTAATTTTGTTAGTGGTTTTGTTAAGAATTTGCACATAAAATGTGCGAACATGTCACTGTAATGCAAACAACGGTGCATCGCCAGTGAATGCCTTGAAGTTAAACTCGTTCGCCCTTTGTCGATAATCTTCGGAATTCCAGCGGCCATCGATACGGGTTGGAGTGTAACACTAAGATTAATATGTAATCATACTAAACATATAATATGCGTCAGTAATCGTTGAGATTAGAGTAACAAATTCACTTCCATAGGCGCCGCCTATTTTAAATTAAAATAAAATTACGTACATATATTAAATAAATAAAACACGTACATATGTTCGAGAGGGAATGCCTAAAACTACCTGCGGGTACAACAGGCAACAACCCTCGTCGTGATCCGATCTGAGGCCGAGTGGCCATTCACGATAGATGACGGACGAGCTGGTCGACGCTGCTGGAAGTGTAATGATCATCTAGTATTCTAATAATAATGATGCTGTAAATGCAGGTGTTACTTTGTAAAATTTTCTAATTAAAACACACATGTAGTATCTTATTTTGTAACGTTACAGGTTTACGTGAAAATGACTGGAGATCACAGAAGGTACAGTTATTGAATGCTCTCATGCTGTTTGAAGAATAATGGACATTAGGTGAGTAACAGAGTCTGGATGTGTAAAAACTTTTAGTTTAATAAGGATGTGGGTTGAGGAGGTTAAAGGTGGGAAACTTTTGCAAAATAGGTCGATTAATAAACAGAGAGCGGAGAGAGTTCTAAAAAGTTTTGCTAGTTTCTAGAATAAAATAAAAGAAATACGTTAAAAATTGACTAAAAGGTATATGAAATATCCATGAATTTATTTTTATTTGGTTGAAGACGTTATTTATTGTAGTTTAATTGGAGGTGAGGGGAGAAGAGGGGCTATATGGTTCTAACTTTATGTGAAATAAATATATTTATGCGATGTGTCGTTTTAAAGTAGAATAATTCAATAATCGTATTATGTATCTACTCTGATTTTACGTCTACATCCATGCAGTGGAGTTCAATGAGATCATTGGGGTCAATGGGATCATTTATTGCTGTCAATGGGATCATTGGGATGATGCAATCATTGGGTTCAATGAAGTCATTCAGATTAGTGGAGACAACGGGGTCAATGAGGTCAAGTTAGGCTGTGTGTCTTATGGGGTATTTGCAGGTACCCCGGAACACATCTAGTTTTAGATGGTAATCGGTAATTTAGGTGGCCATCCATATTTACGGAGTCTAGAAGTTAGTATAATATTAAAATACTAAAAATACCCTGAGAACATTTATTACAAATAACTAAGAATTAGTTCAATTTGCATATGTGTGGAAGTAACGCATACATATTTCTTAAAATAAGATATTATTAGCTTTAAATTAATAATAATGTATATGCAATTACGGGACCACATAATTAAATGAAATATTGCATAAATTTCATTCATAGATCTTTACATAAATAGATAAATTGTGAATACAACTACTTTTTTTGGAGATGTGGAAGTAGTGATTTCTTAGGAACCTTTTAAAACTTTAGATCATCCGTAATAAAACAAAAACAGATTACTTTTTCTACAAACGTTATTAAAGTATTACTTTCACTCACGCTTCACAGTTTATACAATTTTATTTTTTCGCACTAGTGTACAAAGAAAAGGCGAATAGAACTTACATCAGGATTGAGCAAAACTATTCTTACAAAAATACATATCTTTCTTTTGGTTCCATACTATATTGATATTGATTTGTTTAGATTGAGTATATGTTGGTGAATACATACTAAAATAAAATTATAACCCTGTGAGATACGACATTACTAGGGTTCGGAATGTTTGCTATAACGCGTGTTTAACTATCTTGCTCTCCCGGGACCGCGTACTACTCCGCATATGCGAGTCCCGGCGCGTTGTCGGAGATGGTTAGTGGCGTACGAATGCACGGGCAAGAAATACACGCGTATATAATTTACAAGGCGCTTAAAAACGGTTTATATTTTAATTATTATAGAGTTGTATACTGCCGCCCATGCGTTGTGGCGCACATTTCCGGACCCTAGTCATTACATTACTGACATTCATAATTTGTGACATACATCACTCATAGCCGACAGCTATGTCAGCTATGAGTGATGACATTTCTTAATTCATTTTAAATAGTCATATTAATACATAATCGCGAAGTTTGAGTTTATTTAAAATTGGTCTTCTAAATATATTTACAGACATTATAGTACTGTAGATTAGTTTTACAGTCAATAAAGGGATTTTACACATAAATTCAACACAATATTTTTTCTACACCAGAATTTTATATAAGTACAGTGTCCGCCATGAAGTTGGAACCAGATGGGATTTTTTTTATATTAGATTTTGATAAAAACTTTTGGTGACAATCACTTCTGCTTCCAAAATAACTTAAAATGCATCAATTCAAAGTTGACAGCTAACATCTGGCAACAGTCAAATTTGTGATTTTGCAAAAAAAAAAAAACTAGAAAATGGCCTAAATTGTTAACATTTCGAAAAATGTCACTAAGAAATTATGTTCCTAAGGACATTTTACGCCTAAATGCCGATGTTGAGCGAAACATTTAAATATCCAAAAAATTTTATATTTTCGAAGTATTTTATTTACTCCCGTAACTAACTGATCTGAAAACATTTAAAACGCTTCAAAGCAGTATAAAGTCTGCCATTGCAATGCTTACTGTGCTAACAATATTCGTATGTATTGTTGGTTTTGCAGATTAGATCGATATTCGTGACATTTTTCGAAATATTAACAATTTAGGCCATTTTTTTTAGCTGTCAAGTTTGGATTGGTGCGTTTTAAATTATTTTGGAGGCATAAGTGATTGTCACCAAAAGTTTTTATTAAATCCTAATATTAAAAAAAATTCCTTTATGGGTCCAACTTTATGGCTGACACTGTATATATATATATATATATATATATATATATATATATATATAAAAAATCCTTTAAGAACTAGTGCCTAAATACATTCTTTAAAGCATAGGTGTTTAAAGAAAGTTTAAGTTATGTTTGTTTTTTTACGTAATTTTGTCATTGAAATTTACACATCTTCAAAATGGCTACTTTATACACTTGTAGCATAAATAATTAAATAACTATTATGTAGCAAAAGGTGACACGTAGGGTTATTATTATGGTTATAATGATATTTTAAACCAAAACAAGGGAGAATAAATAAAGTATAAATAAAAGGGGCGACATCCACACTTAGAGATGCAAAATAAACCGCGTTAAAAATATTTTTCGGTCCTTCTACACACGCATTTACATATAGCCCGTGTAAGTCCCAAATTACCAAACGGGAGATTAGATTAAGAGGATTAGGCCCATCTTTCCTAATTCGCTTATTTGTTGCGAGATGCTTTCCTCCCCCTGGAGCATGTTCCTTGTTATTGTTACGCTTCTATATCGGTTAGTTCATCATCGGTTACTTAAGGGGGATATTTTCGCTACACTGTTCAATGTTCATCCACTGTGACTGCCGAAAAAGTAAGCGACTTGCGGGAATTTTTTCACCAAGATAATTAAGGAATATGGGGAGCGGGGTCTTTTATTTTATTAAGTCTATATTCAATTTAGTTTATATACATCTTTATTGAAAATATATAAAATAGTTACAAAGTTATGAGCCTTGCTGTAGAGTCTGAAAAAAAATTCTCCCTCCGCGGTCGCATCGATTTTTCGAAAACGGGTTATCTGAAAAAAAAAAAATCAAATTGCATTAGAATCTGTATGAATGTAATCGTTGTATGTAGCCGATTTAGCCGATTTTTTTACTTTGATGTTTCACAAAATTTTGGCCTTTTTTTTTTTCAAATCAAAATTTTCAAAATCGGTTACGCTTAACCTAAGCTATTGCAAAGACGAATAAAACAAAAAAAAGAGTTGAAAATTGGTTAATATTAATAATTGCTCGAGTTCGATGCGACCAGTTTGAAAAAAGTCGTTTTGAGAAAAACGCGTTTAAAGTTTTCAGTCCATTTTTATTACTATAAAGTCACGTATCTTCTAAAATATTTTATGTATACTTACATCAAACTAAGTATCGAGTCCTGGGCCATATGGTGGTTCTTCCGATATTCTGATATTCTCCGAAGAAATGAACCCTCCGAAGAAAATATGTGATGACGAAAGCAGACCAGAGGAATTACACAAATTAAGGAAGCTTTAACGAAAAACGGTTATAAAGAAAAAGACATCGTCAGAGTATGCCGCACCCAGAGAACAAAAGTAGAGCAACAACCAACAACGTATGCTTGCCTACCCTATGTCTCAGGAATGACAGATAAACTCAAGAAAACACTGTCGAAAAAGAATATTGGTGTATGATTTCGCACA